CAAAATATCCAAGCGAAAATGTCAACGGCCCTTAAAATAATATTAATTTTCTCCATTACTCTCATTTTTCGGTCAACCCTTGGCTGTTTTATTTTACAAATTTTACAACCTTGCCCACCCTTTATGCTAAACTGTAATTCAGACATTGACAGAAAAGAGACGTTTCATTCGCGTCTCCCATCAGTTCTCTTACCAGAGGACATTTTGAAAAGAAATGAATCAAAAACAATGGACGATATAAAATACAGTGTATTAATTCCGTGTCCTATCATTTGGATTCGGGTTCCAGATTTATTTCCAGCAATACAAGAAGGAAACCAGGTTATTAACGACTTGATAGAGAAATCATCACATGAATATTCTCATACAGCCCTGTTTTTATTATCATTAAATTTGTCTTTACTGGATACAATGAGAGGAGAGTTTTTCACAATTTTGTACGAAAATTACGACGATGCTAGAATGGACGGACTGCCAATCTACACTGCAAACATCGTCTTACTTGATTCATCAGAAGGAAACGATAATTCGGGAAGAAAGTGGGGAGTTGTCTGCTACTTTTGTAATGTGGGATCAAACATCATTTGGAAGGAAAGTATTTCATTCGGACTACGCCTTGCATTTGATACTTCAACCCGCATTAATTCCCTCGGAAACAGCGAGCCTGTACAATTAGATATACCGGGTACAATTTGAATATTTTTAAATACTGGTTATTTTTCCTCATCTAACCTAATTTCAATACAAATATTTATAATCCTAAAGGTTCTCTCTCTTAACCTCTAATAAGTTTTATTACCTTATAACTACAGGGACAACGACTTGTTCGTATGGCTATATTTTTTGAAAGTTCCGTATTATGGTGTGCATAAACCGGATTTTTTTATAATCCCCTTCCATTCATACCTCAGAACAGTGGAGCAAAATGTGGCGCCTGCACGAAACCAATGTGGGACCGAAAGTTCGAGGATGTAGTTATTGAGACATCCATTAATTATTTCGTCCTTTATGTCAAATTTTGTGAACTGTGTTGTAAATGTCCTTACATCCTTTATAGGCGAACCTGGGTTTATCGTCGCGTTCTGCTAGGGTCACCATAGTCGTTAAACTATGTTTTTAATTTTACGTTTGCTACATATGGTGTTGCAAACAAATTACTAACAAAACTTACAGATATGAAACCTAACCGAAAAGTAATCGGGAGAAACATTTAGGACACCCTGTACATATATACGTACATTGCGACATATATTTGACAATTGGAACTGTTTTTATACATAACCATTACCCATTGTCAAATAAGTTTTTTTTTCACTTTTCAGTTCCTTCCACTTGCTTGAAAGATGTGTTCTACCTCGAGGAGGTTGGCTGCCACCCATTTCAATTTACCATTGGCATCCTCCTCAGGAAATTAAACTTAACCATAGCGTTGGAATCAAATACCGCAAGTGCACCAAGTCTACACTTATCTACTCTATTCAACCCGTCGGAGTACAGTAATCAGAGAATGATACCAATCCATGTCTGTATCAATACACAAACAAGTATTGGGTTCATATACTGCCATTATAAAAGTCACTTCATGCCACCGAGCTGGAGGACTTTTGTGTTGCCGTTCGATGCCTGGATATGGAGTTGGATTCTATTCACTGCAACCTCATTTGCGATTTACTATCAAAGTTTACGACAAGGCTACAACATTTTGGCTGCTCTGGTTGGCCAATTTCCTCAAGATAAAAGGTGGCCATTCCTATCCCTCCTTTGTTTCATGGTCCTTATGAACGCGTATCTGGCCGTTGTTACAACTCACCTGATAAAACCCCCACTGGAAAAGCAATTCCGTACATTTCAGGATGCTGTCGAGGAATCAGATTTCAGGTATAGACATCTATGTACAAATATGTTTTTGTGTGAACAATTTGTTAAGAACGTGCAAAAACGTGTTTTAGAAATCAATGATAGCATCATTCATTATTTAATCTAGGTTTTAGTAATGAATTAGTTTCATCTTTCTTTATCCTAGATACATCGTACCCGTAAAGGAGGCTATCCCACATGAAATAAGGTATTTTGAGACAAAACTAGCAAGCTACCGAAACTATACTGGGAATAAGGAACATCATTTTCGGGTTGTTCCCAAGTTCAACACCCGATCACAGTACACAAATCCACTCAAAGTATTTCACACTTTGGCTAAACACCGTGGAATTATGTTGCTCGTCGAGAAGACAAGGGCTTTTCAACCATTTCTTCGTGATGGTGGAACAAATTACCGTATGGAAACTGTGCAATGCAGTCTAATCTCCGAGGACAAAATAAAAGCCTTCAAATATTATTGGATGACAAAGTTCCATCATTCCAAAAAAGCCTATGAGTTGATGGAGTATATTCAAATTTCCGGAATTCAAACCATGATTACAAATCTCAGACAGGAGATACTCTTCTACAAGTTTTTACCTAAACAAAACCAAAATGTTAATGCTGGAGAAGATTCAAAACCGGTGGTAAGACGGACCAAGGAGGATATACTAGGGGTAACGAAACCGATGAAGATGCCTTTATTCGGGTCAAACTTACAGAATCTATTCATCCTTTACTTGGGTATGGTGGGGGGTTCTATTGTAGGTTTTTTTGGTGAAAACCGAAAATCCCCTCAGGAAGTGTGCCTTGTCAATGCAAAAATTATTTGGATAGGTTTGAACAAGATTTTGCAGTTCTTTCTACAATTTTTGGATGGTATCCTTTGTAGCCTCCTCCACATCAGAAGCACTCAAGTCCAGAAAGTTACGATATAAATTATTATGCAATCTATCTCAATTGCTTGCGGAAAGGGTTTTATCTATTCTAATTTGATAACTTGATGATCGATATTGTCCCCATAATGTTCTCTTGGCAAAGTGACAACCGTGCTTAGTGATTTACATCGGGTGAATATATATGGACTTAAATTTATCAAAATAAGTCTGCAGATAATATATGATTAAAAAACTCGAAAACATGCACATTACTTGTCTTTGTCCAGTGTGTTAAATCAAAAATTCAACCCAAAAATTAATGTTCACATGACACGTCTCTGTTTAGCTACAGATTTACTGTATTGACTAGCCAACACTTGAATTTAACTCGAGGGTAATCATAAAAATGTTTGGTTAACAAATTATATGTAACATACATTAACCAAGCACATTTTAGTCGTGATTGATCATCTTCAAACAATGGTTACCCTCCTTCATCTCAGTCTTGAGACGGGTTAATGGGTCTTAATAGGTTTTTGCAAATAAACAAATGCACAAGTTATGAAAATCCTTGTCTGATGGGTTCAGTCATAGGGGTTGTTTTAAGGCATATAAATTACTGTAAATTCAAGTTATGGAATTTCAATATACTTACAATGCAAGTCTTTTACGTGTACAACTTAGATCTGGTTGGGACCAATTTTATTTTGTTCACCATAAAAAATAAGCATACCCGTATTTTTTCATTTTTCATAATGCCCTAATTTGAGCGCGTGGCGCGAATTTTAAAACATTTTTCAGCCAAAACCTCGGTTTTTAAAAATTCTATAAATTTTCCAATTTTAGCGCGAATCCAAAAATTCAAAAACATACATACTTGACTAGACTTACTTGACTTATGAAAAGTCTACATGCATTATTTTTTGAGAAACTAAAAATTTGAAACAGTTTATAATTTTAATGAATTTCAAAAACTGGCAAAAAATTTTGAAACTCAAATTTCGAGACAATTGGACCTTTCGTAAGTCAAGTAAGTCATTCTGAAGAGACATGTTTTTGAATTTTTGGATTCGCGCTAAAATTCGAAAATTTATAGAATTTTTAAAAACCGAGGTTTTATCTGAAAAATGTTTTAAAATTCGCGCCACGAATATGATCCGAGTTGTACACGTAAAAGACTTGCATTGTTAGTTACATATGTGATTTCAATTAAAAGTCTGGACCATTAAATGAGACACCTTTCTGAATTAGAAATTTTAATGTGTTAACTACATTCACTCTTAGAAAACTGGTATTAAATCATTTCCTACCGTAGTACATAAGCATGTGACTCTACCGGCACTCGAATTAACGGAAATTACCGTTCAATAATGTTGTGGTAATGAACAATTTACCACTCAGGAACAATTTACTAGCCATCCGGTAGTAAATTACCAAAGTAATACTAACACGGCGTATCTAACAATGGAAGCGCAAACCATGTTCAGCCCAGATTATTTTTTGACCATGTTAGTTTGGTAGAGAAAGTCTTTAGAAACAACATTTGGTTCGGCACTTGCGCAGATGCGCAAAATTCAACTCACCACATCAATCAATCTTGCCAAAATATGATTCACATCAGCCATGAAAGCTTTGTGTTACAAGAAAACTGTAAAGATTTGAACAAATATGTACATATGTAGATAGAATTATCTACTGCTGGGAATTAATCTGTTTGAATTAATTAATTAATTACCTGGCGTCCGTTACACTCTTAAAAACTGAGTATTAAAAAATAACCGGTATTGTTGAAATGTGACTCGAAACCTGGCATACATGCATACATCCTAAGGTCCTATATTGATAGGCACACTTATTTACATATGTGCGGCGCTGGTCGTTTAGCTTTTTCGAAATAAATGTATGTAAAATGATTTCATGGAAAGAACAGTAATAATATTGAAATAATCCTTTGCAGTACATAATTTTTTTTTCAATAGTTAACATTAAAGTTTATATCATACATGTATGATATTTATATTAATATTAATATGTATATATGTGGGTATATCACTATGTATGTATGTATGAATTAATTTACATATTACTTACCAAAATAATTACCAAGCTGGTAAAGTATTAAAGTATCCCGTTTGCCGATTTTCTTAAAAGTGTAGACCAAAATTGGTCATCGCAAATTAGGTCAGCGATAAATAAGGTACGTGCCCGGCTTAGCTGATCAACCTTATTTTATGCGTCAGAAGTTAAATTGTGTCAAATTTTGGGTGTATTTTATTTTATTTTATTGTTTTGAAAACATGAAATTGGTGAAAAGTATGAAACAAATTGGAAACGAAAAATTGTATCAATTAAAAGCTTCACAAAGTTTGCATTTGATGATTCAATAGCGAAATTTTGGTTGAAACCTAATTGTTTTGCGTGTCCCAAAGCTTTCTCTCGGATTTCGGGGGTAAGTGGGCCTGTGGTCCATAATCCCCACGATTGCTGGCCATCCGTCCAAGCAGTCACGCCGAAAATGTAGCTTTTATTGTCCGAAAACATGTAGGAGTGGCGGTCTGAAGAATTAAAAAAACTGTTAAATTAAGGATACGAAAATATTTAGTTTGGGCGTATTCACAGTACTTAGCATTTGTCGTAAATTTGCGAAATTTCGCAAGAAATTGATATAACAAGGTGGAAGGTTTGTTGCATAATTCACCAGGATAATAAGGACATGGAAAAACAATTCTTAGATGTCTCAATTCTTATTTTTTAAATTGTCATGCTTAGTAAAAATTTAAAATGTGCAGAAATTTCGCCCAATTCATCGCAGAAAAAGTGGGAGAAATTTGTGATATTTCTCAATAAATAGGTTGAACAGGGTAGACTTTTTTTTGCAAATTCACCAGGATTATAGGGAATTGAAAATATGGCGTAACTCTTACGTTTTAAATTTTCTGCGAAGTAAAAATATTGACATCCTTTCTGCAGAAATTTCGCAGAAAAGCTTTATGTGGTAGAAATTTGTGCAGAAAATATTGCAGAATTATGTATGAAGATTAAAACTAAGGTAAATTTTATGCAGGATTATGTAAAGAAAAATATGCAAAATATCGGTGCAAATATTGTAAAATATTTGCAGATTCCTGCAATATTTGAGGTAGTGATTTCTAGTCAATTAATTCTTCAATTTTTGTTTACTATCAGTAGAGAAAAATAGACTTGACGATTGGAAAATAAATAAGAGCTTGACGTGAGCACGCCCAAGTAAATTTTTGTCTTAATTTAGCATGCACTTACCTTCGCCAAAAATGAGTCTTTTTTCCTCATCGAAGTCAAGCGGATTGTCAATTTCGGGAAGTCCAAAGCCGGAAAGTTTGGAAGTTTTCGCATCCCAAATTACATTCGCGTTGAGAACCTCCGACTCCTTGATGGCGCTGATGGGGCGCTCCTTTAAAGCCGCGGCTGTCCGGTACAAGTCCAGTTTACTCCAGAATGGAAGGTGCCACGTGGGGACGGAGCGGAACTGGGGAGGAATTTCATAATGCATAATTTGAATATTTGTGAAACGGATTTTCTATTAATCTGGTAAAATTCCAGAAAAGTTGAAAACAAGACAATTAATTTGATTATTTGTGAATTTTACCCAGTCCCAGTCGAATCCATCCCAAACCTTGGGTTCGCAAACTTTTCCTTCCTTTACAGAATCCTCGTCCAACATTTCGTATGTAAAAATATTTTGGAGATGAATGAAAATCCAGTCGGGAGCAGCGATGCAGAATGCAGACTGGAATAGAAAAGTATCGGTGTATGTATGTATGTACTTGTTTAAAACTGGTCTTCATCAATGCAGGGGCTGCAGAAGTAGTGGGGACGGAGGGGACAATTCACGTAAATATTTACTATTGGACCATAATTCCGCCATCGCTTTTATTTCTGCGGGTGCTGCATGGCTTGTCATGTCCAAAAAGATAAATAGGAATGAGAATGTGTGTAAAGTGGGCAAAAAATTGCAAAGTGAATGAAGAGTCGGTTGCTTGCTCGCCTACAAATAAAAATCGTGGTTGTACTCGTTGCATAAGTTTATCTTGTTGACATTGAACATTCCTCGACTCGGGGTGTGAAAGAGTGAAATAAAACGATTTTGGGAGAGATAAATAATGCAATACGGACTCATTCGTTTTAATGGATCTCCCACTTTTCCATGTCCATTTGTAAATATGTGCATAAATACATCCTCTTGTTGAGTACACTGCAAATAATCTGGTAATAAACATTACTAAAAAGCACATGTATATGACTCTACCAAAGTGGTAATGATAAGTTGTACCGTGTGATAAGTTGTAATGGCTTGGTAATAAAGTTTTACCATCATGGTAACGAATTTTTACTACCTGGTAAAACATTATTACCAAATTTGTTTCCGAGGAATTATTACCTGCGTGACTTTACCGGATTATTAAGAGTGTAGTCTGATTTGGGCCAACATTTACTATGGGCATGCTCACGTCAAAGTTACAGATTTTACACAAATAACTCTATTTTTTAAGCTTGTTACATTTTACAGATCGTAAAATATATTGTTTGCTGGAAAATGGTGGAATTTTATTTAGCTTACTAGCAAATACATAGATTTTAATTTTGCATGATTATTTTGCATGGGCTGTTTGTGCGAAACAAAAAATTGCCATGCATGGTGCCATTACCCAGGCAAGGCTTGTGCATGTCTGGGATCTTTGTCCATGAATATGCCATGGATATGGCGTGCACAAAGGTATATAAATATTTAGCACAAAAAGTTGACATGCCATTAAATATTTTTTTTTTAAATTGACTAAATATGGTGCAAAACTTTCGAGAAGAGAGCTTGCAGAAAATCATTGAGACAAGTGTTTAGCGATTTTGCAAAGTTCGTAACTTGTAAATCATTTGATGTATGCACATAGAAACTTCTATACTTCTATCGCATAAGAAGACGCATTTGATGTGAGAGTGTTTGCAACAATTTGCAAGCCAAATTTTGCTTAGAAATATGTATGTACGAGTAAAAATTTGCAATTGTACAGACTTTACGGATTTTACAATGTTACCAAGGACTACAGGAATTGGTTACTTAAATATTTAACATATTGCAAAAATTTTACGTAATAGGAAAGACTGATTTAAAAAGGTGCATATGCAAATGTTGCCACTTGCAAGTTTCCGAATGATTTTTGAATCATAAAAAACTTGCTGTCTACAATCAGCAAGAATTCAATATTTTTAATGTAATTCATAAATTTAAATTGCAGAAATTTCATGATCGATAAGAGTGACAATAATGAAAACCGGAATCACTTCACACCTTTAAAATTTTGATTTTGATAAAATTCTTAGCGTTGGTAGGGCTGATTTTTATGAGTTGAACGGTCCAAGTCCGGTGTTTCTACTCCACCCCCTCGCCGAGTGGGAGGAGCTCAAAGTTGGAAAAACCGAGATTTTCTGCGATTTTTAGCTTAAAGGCGGGCAAATATTTTTGAAAACGGTTTTCACCAAAAGTTTCCCAATTTCTATCTCTACAACCCTTTTCGAGCGTTTTTTGAAATTCTCAAAACGGACGTCACGATTTGGGAGTAAAATTAGGGAAAGGTCAAGTCTCACATAACCCCACAATTGGGGTCATATGAGACACCATTGGAAAGCTCTTAGCGCGAGGGTTAAGTATATATGTACTTTGTCTGGTGTATGACCAATCCCTGCTGTTCTAGAGACAAAAATATTTTGAGTTTGTCTCTATTCCATTGCCATGTTAGCTCCCAATCTTCCGCTGTGTTAAATTTTGGAACATTTCAGATTCTCGTTTTCATGCACATATCAGACCTGTTGGACCCCGAACCATGACATTTCGTCATTTTAGGATGTTTTGCATAAATTATGATGGTTTCTGAACAAATTTGCGTCATTTAAAAAAAGTCGAAAATCCTGAGAAAAAACTTGAACCCTGAAAATCCAAAACCGTGACGTCCGTTTTGAGAATTTCAAAAAACGCTCGAAAAGGGTTGTAGATATAAAAATTAGAAAACTTTTGGTGAAAACAATTTTCAAAAATATTGACCCGCCTTTAAGCTAAAAATCGCAGAAAACCCCTGTTTTTCTAGATTTGAGCTCCTCCCACTCCGGGAGGGGGTGGAGTAGAAACACTGGACTTGGATCGCTGTACTCATAAAAATCAGCTCTACAAACGCTGAAAATCTTATCCAAATCAAAATTGTAAGGGTGTGAAGTGATTCCGGTTTTCATTATTGTCACCCATAATTTTTTTGATGAATTTCATAAAATTGCTTGTCTCATACATTTGCATGTCATGAAAGTCAGTACAACTTGCCCCAGTTTCTTGAATACACACGAGGTGCAAAAAATATTTCATGGCTGGAACACCATATTTATTTCCGGTACAAATAAATAACAATATTTGCACATAAATAATTACAATTTTTAAATTAAGAAGGCAAAAATCTGTATTCCAAAATTTTGAATAAATTTTAAACTTCACAATTTTGTAAGTTCATGAAAAAGTCGAGTGACGCAGTCTTTGCAAAATCCTCCTGTGAAAGTACACTTGGACGAATGAGATTCGCTGGAGGGAAGACGGCAAAACTTTAAATTTTATTTACTTACACGATTCATACATTTTGCTGATCTCATTCATCTTAAATTTGAAAAATACTTGAAAATTTTGTAAAAAAACAATACATATCCATAAATTGTTTAATTATTACAGAAAACTTAATAAATAAGTGTAATTTCTTGCATAGTAGGAAACAAATCACGTGGACACGATCGGTAAGAAAATACGGAAAAAACTTCATGACTTTTTACTCTAATTTATTTAAAATTTAAGGAAATAATTGGCTGTTTATTTACATATCTACAAATTATTTAATTATCACAGGCAAATTAAGAAATATTTGAAGGTTCTTGTAGAATAGTAGCAAAATCAAGGCGGTCGGCGACACGATCGGTAAAAAAATTTTGAAAAACTACTAATTTTCAACGTTTTACTAATTTACATAAATAATTAATTGCCCGGTTTATTTTAACACGCTTCTTTTAGGCGTAGTTAAGCCCGATATTTTGTAAGATATGCATCAACGCCGCGGTCGGACGGATGATGACGCTGGTGCAAATGGGGATGGTGGTAAGAAATCGTTAATTAATCAATAAACTATCATGTTAATTTGGTTAAATCACAATTATATTCAACATTTAATAATTAATTATCTGTAAATATGACTGACTTGTTCTTTTGCTTGTAGACGAAAGAGTTCAATTGTTGCGGGGACGACCAGCAAATGGAAGTGAAGTGATTTCGACGCTGGCGAAGAGAGCGTGGTCGTCGCCACGTGTCAAGACGGGGGTCGGTTTGTGGATTGTTGGCCTCGCTTTTATGACCTTGATGCCTGCCCTGGTTGTAATTACGCCAGGTATGCAAATACACGTGTAATAATTAATTACGCATTAAATAATTCACGCAGTTATGGGTAACTTTGTAAAATTCAAAAGTTTTAGTTATTCCTACGAAAATTACGAAAATTAGCTCACCAATTTTACTCCGATCAACGATGCAAGTATTTTTTAAAATTTGTAGAGATTCAGATTGCACAAAGTTACTACTAACTTCGTGAACGATTCGTACGCTAATTTTTCTTCACAATATTTGCAAAAGTGCGTAGAAAAAGATTACGGATTTTACAACGTTACAAAGAATTGCGTAACCAAATCGTAGCATACTTTTTTTCTTCCAAATTCTTGTCAAAGTAGTGCACAATTTTACAAGGTTTCCAAGAACTGCGTGAATGAATTTCCCTTCGGCATAGTTGTAAAATTTTGCAAGTTTACGAATTTTACAAAGTTACCAAGTCCCACGTGACTTCTTTCCTCATTTCTATTTTATCCCCCCAGAAATGCGCTCAACCTACGAATCCATCGCGGTCCTCACCACCGAAGAAATCTTCACCTACGACGACGCGCTCGCTGACCTCGCCGCCGCGGAAGACGTCCTCTACTCCTCCCAAGTCTGGTTCTGGCGCTGGCGCCCCGAACACAAAGTCATCGTCGACCAAAACCAAGCCATCGTCTCTGCCAAGCAAGAAATCGTCGCCGGCCTCACCGCGCAGCGCGTCGCCCGCCAAAACAAGGCCAACGCCTACGTCGGGCTCTGGTCGGAATATGGCATGTCCGAAATGAAGGCGAAATTCTGGTCGAGTTTCGAATCCGGCAAAGTTTTCGCACAAAGGCAATCATTTTGGCAAATGTTTCACCTCATGTTGACCTCGAGGGAGGAGTATTTTCTCTCAATTTTCGTAAAATGGGTGGGTCTCGCGCTGATAAATTTCACTTTGGGGCTGATTGGGGCGCTTTTTTACTATACGTACGCGCTTTTTGGGATGTTGTTTTCCTACGAAAGTTTGTCGCTGGGTGGGGTGACGTTTTTCATTTTGAGCTTTTTGGGCGGGGCGAGCATCGTGGCGACGTATTTGATTGGGTTGTATGGAATTACGGCGGGGGGGTTTTATGTGGCAGGGAGGGTGCTCGTGAGAGGGGCGGCGTTGCAGTATGAGAGGGAGGAGAGGCAGAGGAGGTTGTTGAGGGAGAGGGGGCAGATGTGAGGGGGGATATTTATTATGTGGGGGCATTTATTATCGTAATTTTAGGGAAAATTCGAAACCGAAATTTTTACAACGTTTACTTATCGAAACGTACATGTACGCATACCCTTGTAAATTTGTGCACAAGTTTATTTATCGTTAAGTTTCTTGAAAATTCTTGTTGGAAATGTTAATCATGGAGATTTAGTCATAAATATTGCTAGTGTATATTGTAAATTTATCCACGTGCTGAACACGTGGTTTGAGTTGGAGGTCGATCCTATAAATAAATAACATATATACATATTTATTATCATAATTTTAGGGATAATTCGAAATCGAAATTCTTATGACGTTTACCACATACATAAATATGTAAATATGTAATTGAAACGCGTACCCTTGTAACAATATGCACGCCTTGATAAGTTTCTGAAGAAATCTTACTGGAGATTTTGTCATACTTTAGATATTTAATTTACATATAAATATCCGAATGCCTTACATAAAAAATACCGTACGAAATATTTCAGGTGTGAGTATTGTTATAATTTTCCGGATAATTCTAAACCGAAATTTTTATTACGTTTACTTATTCAAACGTTACTATATACATACCCTTGTAACTTTATAAACTACTTAATGTAATATGAAGTTTCTTAAATAGTATGTAAATATTGATTAAATACAAGTTGTTCGGTTTCTAATGACGGATTTCACGTCAACCCCGTAAATAAACACGTACAACGTTTTCAAAGATCTGCGTATGTAAATGTGAATGAACAAAAATATGGCTTGCTGTTATAAAATTACCTTCCAGATGGTGATAAGTTAATAAGTTTACGTGGTTACGAAGGCTGCCGTGAATTTCCTCGTTATCAAATACGAATGGGAAATTTTCCAGTGGTTTTTCTCTCGCTAGTCCAAATCAATCGAAATACATATATCTGAATGTTTTCTACGTAAAAGATATCGAATTCAGTTAATAAAAAGTTGTTTAAGTGCCTGAAGATAGAATGAAGCGAAAAAAATTAAGAATTGTAGTTAAGATTATACATAATTATGTAGCAAATAAACATTTAACTGGATTTTGTGTGTACATACATAAACATAAATTTACATGCATACATACGTCCGATATGAATGATCGATCAAATTTCAAAATATGAATGCAAAATTTTTATCGTCAATCATATCAATATTATAGGCTAAAATATGACGATAAAAATTACTTTAATTTGTTATTTTTGGTTTATGTGAGACTATATCTACTGCCATAAAGCGTTAGTGTTAAGTTCTGCCTGGGTCCCTGTGGCTCTCAATGCAAATTGCCCCGTAGAGGAGACAAAGAAGGACGCGGAGCAACGGTTGCATGCATGAATTTTCTGCATGAGTCTCACTTCGCCTGCGCGTGACTTTCACGTACGCTTGCCATCAATCTCAAATTAAATGTCTTTGTATATTTGCAGTGTGCAAGTAAATTGAGTGAGTGAGCAGTATACATACATACATCACTCATCAATAGTGGTTATCATGATAAGTGATCTTGATAAACACTATTAATTAATTATTTTAGTTTGAGAAACTCCACCCACAGCGAGTGGCATATCAATTCGAATGTATTTTTTACGCTGAATCCAACGCCATTAATGGTTTTGACCTCCGAGGCCCCCGTGACCTTGCCGTGACCGTGGTGTCCAAATATGGCTTATTCGTTATGTCGCATATCAATTCGAATGTATTTTTGATGCTGAATCCGAATCCGTCAATAGCTTGGCGTTAATTGTAGAAGTTAACGGGGTTTATGGAACTTAACGGGAGCGTGAAGCGTGGGAATTTAAATAGTTAGCTATGCAGTTACTCCCACGCGACGGGAATTTAAGTAATTAACTATTCAACTACCCCCACAGGGGGAAATTAAATTGTACTGTGACCAGGTTAATTAAAATGCAGTATGATTTGGGCAAACCCTCACTCTGATGTATGTATGTAGTATGACAAAGTCTTCACTGCGAATTATTTAAAGTATAGTATGACGGATTTTTCGCTTTGGGCACACCCCCCACTCTAGAACCCGGCCTTGGCCGGGCTATACGCTAGTTCATCAATAAAACAAGTTCTGAGGTGATTAAACTCCTTGACAATTAAAGTACCCCCGAAGAGCGCGCATGTAAATTTATGTAAATTTCTCCCTAGGAATCATTCTGAGAAAATTGAATTTGGTATACCAAAATTCTAAAATTTATATATATACAAATTTTAGAATTTTGGTGAAAAGTTATAAAATGGACGAAAAACTCGAAAAATGATCGAGAATATGAATGTATATGTCCCAAAACCTGAAAATAGTATGAGCAAATATGCTTTGACCTACGTGACCCGTAAATTCGCAAAAATTGATTATAGATATGTACAGTCAGGTGCAAATCTTTACAGCCACCCTTATTTTCGTCACCAATTCCGGATGTGTTGTCATAAAATTATGAAATTTAGCTGTAGTGTGTGGAACGCTACCCTACACAAATGCCATGAACCACGAAGTCGAAATATGACGCACACTATTTTTTTCTTATGAAATGTGAAAAATAGGGGGTGCAAAACATTACAGCCACCTGGAAAACTTGGCCATTAAATACATTTATTCAGTTTATGACCGATTGTAGCACGTAGGTTTGATATCTCGGACATCGTTACACTTCAGTTCTTCGAACTAAATCCACCCAAGTAGCCTCTGTGCAGATCTTGTGCAAGTCACAATGAAAATTTATGCAGATTTTGTGCAGATATTTTAGTACAATAAAATTTGTGCATGAAAAGTAAACATTATGCACTAACACATATTTACAAGTCTATTTGTACAAAATGTTTACCAACTTTGTACGTATTTCTGGGCATCTACTTAGTAATTAAATATATGTATAAGTTTTATGCAAACTTATCTACATTAAAATTGTACCATAAAATCTGTATCAAATATGCACCAAATATGCACCAAATAATATATGAATTCTGCTGCAGATTTCCATGCACCAAACTAGCATCAAATATGCACAAAGAAAAAAAGGGTGATCAGGCGCCATCTTCATGCTACACAGTTCTCTACTCATTTCCTACAGCCGTCAAAACGTGGTTTTCTTCTTTCTTAAAATATTAAATAATTAATTAATATGGAAAAATTGGTTCAAAGTGCAGACCAAAGTGATAAAACTTTCACGGTGGTCGAGTTTCACTTAGATAATGGAGTAAGTGTTGTTCCAAGTTCTTGGATATCGGAAAAAGTAGGAAAAAAGTTTTGTCCGTTTCCTGATCCGATTCCGAAGGATTTTGAAAGAATTCAATCCAACCTAAATAGTGTTCCTGGCCAGGATTGGATTACTTATGAAGTCACTTGTGTCAGAGTTCATGGTAAATTTATTCTAGTCGAACCTACTGAATTAAAATTACTGGTAAATTTTCATTCTTAACATATTTTGTTTATCTAATTTTTAGATAACTACAAAAGAGCACAGGGAAAAGCAAAAAAGCACATTAGGAATCAACAGGTTGACTCGACTGATGCAGAATTAGGACGAGGAAAACGATTTCGAAAAAATGAAGAAGTCCTTGTCACCCTGGCCGTATCAGAACCACCTCCGTCGTTGCTTCATCAAATAAATAGTGGTGAGAACTTTAAAAAAAGTACATTTTATATTGATCTTAAAATGTATAAAAATATCCATTGTGGTTTAGGCTCGAGTCGGCAAGTGAACGGTCCTGCTGAAATCCCAAACGATCAACAGCTGCAGACCCTACAAATTCCATACATACGAGTTGAGGCGGATCAGCAACTCTCAGAGCTATTTTCAGAATTTAGAAGTACTTATTAAATAATATTACTTGGTTATATTTTGCATTGTAAAAATACTTTTTCTGAACTTGCAGATTTTCAAGAAGAATCATTACGAAACCAAGCATTTTTACTGGAACGAGTGCAAAATTTGGAGAATCTTCTATTGAACTCATTACAAAATCGAGGTGCCAACTCCCGCTGGGCTGGATGGAAATGGCCAATTAAAACAACAGCTGACGTGGATGCAGTCGAATTATGGTTATTGGACCCACGCAACTACCAGGAAGAAGTATGTACTATATATGTTTTTCAAATTCTATTTTGCTTGCTTTATATTGATAACTGTTGTAGGAAATAAGAATATATATTGCTTATGTGTTTCAGGTTTTGATATTGTCAAAAGTTGGTGGTAATTCCGGTGGCACGAAGTGTGTTTACGACACCCTTGATTGGATGATTTGTCATCAACTGGCGCTGACCCTTCGCTATACCAGTAAGAGTGGAAAAACAGCAGTTGGGGATAAGTTATTCGTAAAACTTACTCGTGGTAAACAAACCAAGTCATACACATTAGAATACAAATTGTAGTATTTTTTTAAATAATAATAATTATTTTTCACTTTCAGAGTCCGTCAGACTATCAAATCCTGGATTAACGGATCGCCAGATCAATCGCTTCATTGCTTCCTGGTTTCGACAGTCCTCACAACGTGATAAATCGAGAAATGAAAACAAAACTGGTCACCCCACGCAGAACACTGCAACGGCGAGCGGAGAGGGTGGTCACCGCGGCACTCAAGAGAATTCGAACTCAACGAACTCAACGTACGACAACGATTCTGGCAGAGACGAGTAATGAAGACGAATCAAACAACCAGCATTCTCGTCACATCGCTAATTTAGAACATGTAGAAAGTAATTTGCAAATTGAGGAAGCTGAAAATCTTATGCCAACTTGTTCTGTTATCCCACCAATTAATAATAAGTCTAAATTAATTCAGTTAGGTAAATGGGCAACCGAGTTTAATATTAGTCATATCGCTCTGTCAAAACTATTATATTTAGCCCGTGAATTTTCTAGAATTACGGAATCTTTTAACACTTAAAATTGGAATAGATGGGTTGCCAATTTCCAGAAGTTCAAACAAGCAATTTTGGCCAATTTTAGGGAAGCTGGATCAAGATCCAAGATCGAGAGTTTTTATAATTAGTTTATTTTATGGATCTCAAAAGCCACAAAGTTTAGAAACCTTCTTGGGTCCATTTGTCAAAGAAATGCTAAAATTGGAGCAAAATGGTGTGCACGCTAAAGGCTGTCATTATTCAGTTAGGATTCGCTGTCTTGTAGCTGATGCGCCGGCTCGCAGCTTTCTTAAGCGAATAAAAGCCCACAATGGTTATTTTGGATGTGAAAGGTGTTATCGCAGAGGTAGTTATAAAAATTCCCGTATTCTCTATTCAATTAAAGCTCCTTGTGAAGAATATACGGACCAGTCTTTTAGAGAGCGTTGGTACGAATGTCATCACAAAGACGTTTTGCCATCTCCTTTAGAATCATTGTCTCTTGGTATGATTTCACAGATTCCTTTAGATTACATGCACCTTTGCTTATTAGGAACAATGAAAAAATTATTGCTTGTTTGGACGGAAAGCGGCCACATAAATTATCCAGTGTTCAACAAAAAATAATATCAGATAGATTAATTAATTTTAGAGTTCAAGTACCTAAAGAATTTGCTCGAAAATGTCGAGGTATTAATGACTTAAAACATTGGAAAGCCACCGAGTTTAGACTTTTCTTACTATATGTTGGTCCCGCTACGTTAAGGAATATTCTTGACGCAAAAAAGTATGAACATTTTCTATTATTTCACTCTGCGATGTATATTTTAGTTTGTAGTCCTTTAGAACGTAAATGGATAGATTTTGCACAAAGTTTACTAAACAAATTTGTGCACGAGATTCCTAAACTTTATTACAAGGAATTATTAATTTATAACATGCATAGTCTTCTTCATGTAGGGCAAGATGTTATTATTCATGGTCCTTTAGATAATTATAGTGCTTTCGAGTTTGAAAATTACATGTCTCCTTTGAAAAAATTGCTCCGCTCTAAGTCAGCTCATTTAAGCCAAATTGTAAAGCGCATTGGAGAGATTGACTAATGCTCTAGCTCAACTTTAGATAAGGTAAAAGCTTTAAAATTAGGTGGCTCGCCAGCCGATAACTGTTACGTTACAAAAGATGGGAGATTCTGCATTTTAAATTGCAAAACTTCTGATTCTGATAATGTTAGTGTAAAATACTTCAAGTCCAAAGAAGATGTTAACCTTTACCCTTGTGCTAGTGGTAAACTAGGTATTTATGTAGTTTATAATTTAGATGTATATGAATGCGAAATTGCTAAAGGTAGCATTTACAAAAAATGTGTCTTGTTGCCTATTAGTGGCAAGAAATATTTTTGTATACCATTGTGTAATTAGCTGATGGGATATTATTTTTTTTACTTTAAAGATCAAAGGATTATCATTTTTGAGCTAATAAATTAAATAATTGTTAAAAATATGCAAATTCATTTATTATATGCATAAATCTACAAGCATGTGATACATAACTAGCATTGATTAATTGTACATATTTTGTGCATAATTTTGTGTACTAGATTTGCACTAACTTATACTGCAGGTTTAGTACACGCCACTATGCAGTGCATTTTTAGTGCATATCACTCGTACAAAATCTGCACTAGTTGTTTGTACATGTAATGCAAATAAAAATGGTCAAACTTGCATGAAACCTGCACATATTTTGTTGTACCAATAAGGTACAATACTTGCATGACTTGGCTACTTGGGTTACTCCTTACTTCGCAAATTAATGTCAAATCAGGAAAAGTAGGACATCTGAACGGTGCATGCGAACATGAATTGCGAATTTTGTAGAGTTGTCTGTAAAATTTGCAGGCAATGCAAAATTCTGCAAATCTGTAACTTAAGTTTACTTTAGTTTACTTTTCGGCTCGGTTGTTATTTTCTACCTTTATGTAAGTCATACTGAGAGAATACCACAAAGTATAAAAACAGGCAGAACGAGAGAGATTGACATAAGGGTAGATTCGTGGAATGTGGGGACATGCGCTTTCACATGACTAAAATTATATGTATTCATCAACAAGAACCCTTGGCAAATATTAAGGGGACGCCACTGTATCGTGCGAACATTAAAAGAAGAGTACAATTTTTAAGTTTTTGTCAACCTTCTTCCCTCCTCAGTGACGTGGTTCGGATTCAGGTGATCGGAAATTACGACCAATTTATCACCTAATCTGAAAGGCTCAATTAATCTCGAAACTTATATCGCCGTCCGAAGTTTGATGGTTGACAAGCACTCAAAAATTGTACTCTTCTTTTAATGTTCACACCATAGGATAGTGCCCTGTCGTAAATGTTGCCTCACATTTTACCGCGCTTCTTCAGGGTCCCTATCCTTCATCACATAGGAAGGGAACAAATTCTTACAAGGGAACTCCCGATTAAGTTTACACAATTTTTCAAGTAATAAGGCTCTTGGGATTGAATCGAACGCTTTTTGGAAATCAGTTGACACAGCACGTATCATGTCCCTATTGATATTTTGCCCTACAATACATATCAGTCAGACCGATAATCATAGGTTCATTATATGATACTCATTGTGAGTTTCACAATCATAAAAAAACAAAGTTGGTATTTGCATTACTTATGTAAAAACTTGTCGCCAATTTCGTGTTGCAATTTATTGAATACATACATACGTCTGACATACATAAAACATTGTTATAAATAGTAGTGTAATAAAACCTTAAACCTTCAAACTTTAATGTAAACTTTGAAATGATTGTTTCACATACATTGGCCTACAATTATTTCAAAAAACTTATACAACGATTTCACAATTCCATGGACAAAAATATGTTCTCGATTTTATGCCCTACATAAATCCTCTCTTAGGAATCTAATTGTTGAGATATGTTTACGCGTACGTTATACAAATGTAGATTTTTGCCTGCACCTCTCCAACGTATTAAAATACCTTCAGTTATCAGCTCATTTAAACAATGCTGAATCTCTTCAAATCTCAAGGAATCTTGTATACTTTGCTCCTTTGTTCAAAAGAATTATATTGTAGGTCAATTTTGCACCACCAACACGGAGAGACTTGTACCCTAAATCTACAAGTGACAAGTGGAAGTAATTTATCAATGCCGACTATTAATTTTACTCACGACATACTTTTTCCTAATTTCATATATATCATTTTCAAAGGTCAGAATTGTCCAGAAGAACAATATTGTACCGCAAGCTCAGTCTCGAACAGGTTTTTGCAATATTGCCATATATTATTAATCGCTCTATCAGAAAGTCAGTTACAATCAGTCAATGAAAAGAAAATAGAGGACACTCTATTACTTCAAAAATTCAATGCGGTACTGATTATTGTCGCAAATTCCCTAATTGCAAACAACAACTTTAAATTCAAATGGTTAGGCTGGCAAAAATCCAATGCGAGAGTTTTTGTAATCGAAATACTGTCCTACAAATATAATGGCACCTTGTATTATAAGCGTTCAATTAGCTATGCTTGCTTTCTGTGTAGTCAATTATTAATCAGGGTACCTTCAATTCAATTGAATACAGTCGATCTGGACTTCAAATATTTATGGAAACCATTACTAATACTACTAAATATGCAGCATCCATCGAAATGTGCTGTAAGGCCGGGTCAAGTTGGATTACCTGTGTGCAGGTCAGCTTGCAATATACATTGCATCGATAAAATTATGCTAATTAAAAAAGTATGTAAAATTTACAGATATCCGTATCGTATCGGTCAAATTCTCAGCTCCAAATTAAACTTGACATTCAACTATAGTCAAAATATGACGAAACTTGAAGGAAATTCGTACGGTTATATCTACTTTATGGCGGGATCTCCCTCCATAGATGAGATATCTCGTTGGGCCCTGCAATCAGTCAAGTTTGGACATCACTTAATCTATTGCAATTACGGAAAAATCAACGTCAATCAGTTTATTGGTGTCAGACTTGATTTCTCACCCTTCACGTCAATATACACGGTACAAGTTTGGTGGCTAATTCTTCTTACTGTTGTAACCTTATTTGTTCTACTTCAACATAGTGGCGTCACTGTGTGGTTCGATGCCGTAACTGTGTTCATACGGCAATTAGGTTCTGGAAAAAATTACGTACCTATTTGTTTAACTTCACTGTTGTGCTTACCATTATTGGCCGTCTACGAGAATGAGCTGGCATCCAAAATTATTGTTCGCAATTGAATTCTCTTAGAGAAATATTGGAAAACAATTTTGAAATTTATGGCACAAATCCATATCCCAGTAAAATAATGGATGGTCTCACCATGTTTAGGAACTACTTACGGCACGATTTTGAAATAATAGGGCTTACTAATAAGTTAAATTCGTCCTTGTTTGTTACGGATTTTTACGACCAGGGTGGACTTCTAAAGCTATTATTGCCCAAATATCCAGCAAGATGTATTCTTCTTAAAACGTTTTCGATTGATACAAGCCTTGATAGAGTACAGAATCACGAGTTGAAAGGGCGCTACAAGTGTTTCAAGATTGAAAATATAGCACTGGCTAAAATTCATTATGATTTAGCAATCGTAAGGTTGATCGAAGAAATGAGGTCAATTGTAACATTTATTGATATTTCGGGTGTACATATTGCTTGGAGGAACTGGGGAAATTTTATTTACGAGGTGAAAAGGAAACGATTTCTTAAGTCGATTCGGCATGAATATATTAATATGGATGCATTAGTGCCATTTATTCAAGGTGGTGTATTAGTTTGGTTTATGTGTGGGATTGTTTTTATGTTAGAAATTGTAATTAAGCTGCGCATGAATTTCTTTTGCATGGTCTGGAATCTCGTTCGATGTAAAGATTTCTTATTTTATGGTTTGAATATACATATTCATGTGGGTATAAGACTATGGTGGAAGCATTAAAAGCATGCCAATTTTTAGACCCATTCATTATTCAGAAATTGTGGGAAAATGTGGTGCCGTATATATCAAAGAAGTTTCACAAATCTGTTTTAATATATCTATAGATATTATTATGTATTTCAATGCTTGTTGAGTACAGTTTGAATATTAAATCTTAGCGTAATAGCATATCAGTATTATTATAGGCTTCTCTAACCAGAAACCTCATAGGTATATAGTTACCTAGTATGTATGTACCTAGTTGCAAAGGCTCAAGTGTCAGTAGTTTAGAGGGCTACAATTTTAGCAATACAAATTTCTGATTGATTGCATTTAAAGGGCAGTTAAATTTCAAGTTGGAAACAATTTTTAGTCTTAAAAATTTCCTCCTCCTACGGCAATGCCACGCTGAAGACGAGACGGGCACTCCTCGATGGAATTACGCACAGATTCTAGGGACATTTTGTGACATTCCGGGCTCAGAAATTTTTTCCGAGCCTCCGTACTTCTACGGGGCTTAGAACACACCTTTGCCCCTAACTTTGACCATTTTTCATATTCCGTTGATTCAAATCCGGCAAGGATGATGACCATTTCTGATTGGAGATAAAGACCGGAATTTGTTTTTTTAGCTACGCTTGGGTCATTTTTTGCACTATAAGTTCGTGCTGAGTCCTCCTGAGAGGTCCCATCGATTCCATTGAATTGGATCTCACTTAGGGGATGTGCCACGGACTCAAAAACATATTTTAAAAAATTTGATTCCCCCACCTCCCCTCAATTTTCAGCAAAACGTAGAGAAATTACCCCAATTATCTCCCCCCAGCAAAAATCATCAAAAAACCTGGATTATGTGACTTTCTGACTTTTTGTCTATATCGGGGGATGTCTTTGACAGATTTTGCGTAGATTAGGACAACTCGCTTGTTAAAAGATTTTTTCGATGTGAAAATCTCCTCATTTGTAAAAATAATCCTGC